AATTAAACTACAAAAAAGAAACTCACGTAGTTTCCTACCTCTAATTTTTGCCGCACTTTTAAAATCAGCCACGAAAATTTTAGATTTCCTTTGGAACAAAAATTTTTTGGTAAGATTCTAAGTTTCAAAATGATACGCAACTACAGACAAAGAAAGAGAAAATGAAACACAATTACAGAAGAAGAAGAAGAAGAAGAAGAAGAAGAAAGAGACTGAAATGTAACTACGGAAGAAGAAAGAGAAAATATTTAGCTAAATAGTCAAAAAAAGGTGGGCTAAAAAGTTGAAAGTATAAACAGTGGACAATCGATTTTGCTACAGTGTGTACAATCAATTTCACTATAGTGGTGTGAAAGCTTGGCCACCTAAATGAACAGTAACTATCTCAATCTCTCTTTTAAGGTAAATGTAGATAATAGATTGGATTTAAAATGATTTACTCTCTAAATTAGGAAGCAGTAATTCCATCCAAATTAAACTCTTTTGAAAGTTTCACAAAATAGAAATACACTTGCAAAAACCGACACCACATCTCGAAGAATGGCTCAATCAAAGATGGAAGATGGAAGAGGTCACATATAGAAAATCATCATAAATTAGAAAAAGATAAATTTCACGATCAGGGTTACAGAAATACAGAGGATTATTGACGCCATAAATTTCTCATCGTCGTCGTCGTCGTCGTCATCATCAACTCGAAGAGATTATCGAGTTTGTTCGAAGCCACAAAGCTTGAAGATAAATGTGGTCACATATAAAATTGTATATAGAGTAATTTCGGTAATCGAAAGTCACAATTTACTCGGCAAAAAAATCATTCCAAAAATCAATACATATTCTATTTTATATAATTTTTTTCCAGATACAATGTTGAAAGTACCGATTTGGCTTTTGCACATCATCAAGTATGTTGTGATTATTTCTAGTTTTGAATCGCGGATGGGTTCAATCCAATCAGTGTTATTCTAATAAGGAATTTTGATCCACTCATTTCACATAGATATGTGATTTATAGTGACTTTGTTTTATGGAATGTATTGCAATTTAAATAGAAATAGGTAGCAAGTGTAAAAACCTACGATTGTAGTTTTGGATTCTACTCTAATTTAACAACAAATATACCGGAATACTAAACATTTAAGGTCACAAAACCAAAAATGTCTTACATTCATTTAAGGTCACAAAATCGAAAATAGTTCATAGTTTTGGATTCTACTCGAATTCAGATCATGTCTATGAACTGCCCACATATTATGACTATATTTTGTGACTAAATGCATTGTTTGTGACCATAAACTATGATTTGATATGTTGAAAGATGGTGAATGTGACCTTACGTCTATAACCTTTTTTGTATTATATTATGTGAACTGATCACATAATGGGCGTAGTCTATGACTCAATGCACTGTCTGTGATCATACATTGTGATCTAATATGTTGACAAATTAGGATTGTGACCTTACTGGGTATCTATGTGACCTCCGGATTATAGTTGTGACCCAGTATTTTTACTATATTTACATGTATCTCCTGCCGATCGCACTGTATTTGTGGTTAGTGATAATAGCTTATCTTGCTTGATGATATACATGTATGTGTAGGATACTACAAGTCAATCAATTGCGATGTCCACGTACCACCGACAGGGGCAGACACAGACTTTTTATGTTGGGGGGCACAATCGAACTTTCAAAAAGTGACGAAAAAATTAAAGTAAGAGATATTTTATTATAATTGTTCTCCACGTGTTCTCATATTTTGATAATGTTCCATAATTAAAGTGAGAAATAGAGAAAAATTTAATGTAATTTCGTAATTCAAATCAACAAAGAAATTGAGTATACAATCTTGGTCATCAAGAGCTACACAAACTTTGATAGAATCCAAATCACAGATTTATATGTACATTTCTTAAATTCTGAAACTTATATAACAGATGCAACAAATAAATCAATAAGGGATAAGAAAATGGTAAGAGCAAGACTTATTTTCGATGCATCTAATACCCAAGAAACAATCCTTGCTCATTCAAGTTCAATCATATTGCACAACTCTTTCTTCTGATTACATTCAGTCGGATCAGATTCTCATAGGCTAAAAGGCTTTCGAAATTTCCTTAAAAATGTCACTTCAACTAAAAATTTCACTCGTGAATCTCATGCATTATAAGAACGTAACTAAATTCAACTAAGAATTCTTCTATTCCTATTAATTGATCTAATCCAAGTATACGATCATTTTACACTGATTACTTCGTTTAGTACTGGTTTCAGCACTATAGCTCACGGAAGCCTTGCCTACTAGCTTTTTCCTTGGGTCAGATCTTAGAATTCTTTGTCGCGATTGAATTTGAAATGGCTATGGAGTGGAGACAGACTTTTCACTGTTTTCATTTGGCAATGCAATTTCCACTCTTTGAGAGTAACTATAAATCATTTAAATAAAGATAAATGAGATTTGANTTTTTTTTTTGGGGGGGTGGGGTGGCACCTCCCCCCCAAGCCACCCCCCAGGTCCGCCCCTGACCACCGAAGAACATGCAACACCTCGGTTTCGTTAAGCTAAAGTAAAAATAAAAAAGATAAAGCTAAGAAAGAGAGACAATTCAATAAATAGTACAGTATTTTGTGAAACAATCTGTACATAGATGAAAAAATATTTAAGTTCTTGTTTAGTATTAGATACACTGAATTATCCTATTGAATATTTCTCTCAAAGCATATAAAAGATTCATTTTGAAGGTGCATTAGTGTGATAATATTAATTGTGTCATTAAAAGTAAGTTTGTCTTAATGGATATTGACCACAATGCATCAAGTTTGATATTTGTTGATTGATGTTTCAATTTTAAGAAATATAATTATATATCACAGGTCACAAGATTAATTTGTTATTGCTTATGTTTATGTTGATTACATGGATTTGGAACTATGGCATGATATATTGAACAATTTACATATATACAACCACATAAGGTCCTGATTTGTGACCTGTGATTTGTCACCTGTTGCATGTGACCTATGATTTGTGACATTAATAGAATGTGACCATAACGTTGTGTACACATGTTGCATGTTATTTTGTTCAACAATTATTTGGGACATATAGATTGAACAAGATATATGTCTATTTGTGACATGTTATTTACTAGAAATGTGGCTTGCTTAAATGACAAATTCATCACACAGAGCAATAACACAAACTAAAACACATTCATACTCGAAACAAACACAAATACATAGAAATACACATGAAATATTCCATCCATGGATAAACCAATAATCAACTAGATACACAGCAAAATATAGTACATCAACTATCTATCTATCAAGAGAATAAAGTGAGGAATAAGATGAAAACACAAAATCATATGGTTTCCATCTTATTTTTTATGTTTGTGACATGCCTTATCCGTTGATGTTTAACCTGCAACAAAGCTATGTCCATACTAGCTCTACTAGCTTCAAATGAGATCGGCATATTTGCAAGATCATTGTGGAGTAAGTATTTTGCATACTCAATACTGAAGACACTGCAATTATGGTTGAAGAAAATTGCAAAACAATATGTTATGTAAGTTCAAACAAGTAATCATTTGTTTGTAGCTCTGTCAGATATATAAAATACCTATCGTCGCAGTTCTTGACTGTACATGTAGTAATAGAACACTTGGGTCTCAATCGTAAACATCTACAATCACATTTTAGGAATGTAATGCAAAATAACATAAACTAAGCTACAATCCTAAAAACTAATAATAGGATCGTAAACAACTGAAATCACAATTCAACTACAAAATGTTATTCATCAACCTATGTGTACAAAAATAGGAAAATACAATTTTCACCAATGCTTTAGTTTATAATCATCTAACATTCTCGGAGCAATCAGGTCACAATCCTAGACTAATGGTAGATCATCCAGGTCACAATCAATTTTGTTCAGTTTACAATATAAAAACACTTCAAAAATCGTAGAATAATTCAATCACTAACGGAGAAATGGACATGTCACAATCAAATAAAAGGTATGTCACATTCATAGAATGAAATAAAACACGGGTCACAATCAAACAAAATTAGGTTACAATCAAGCCACATTGAAAAAATAACTTCACCCAAAATAAGAACAAAACCAAGTCACGATCATTCAATATCTTCGAAACTACAACTTACCCATAAGTTAAACCTTCCATAAAACAGGTTTTAAACCAAAAAAATTCAACAATGAATTGATTACGTTCTTTAAAATTGACATTGCATTTTTTTTTTTGGGAGATTCTTTGTGGGTTTTGAATCTTTTTCTATTATCTCGTCAGCCTCATCTTCCTTATACGAATGATCAACACTCCTTATTAGAACCATCTTGATGTGGGTTTGTATGTATCTAGGATTCACACACTCTTCTATTAGGGGAAAATGGATTGTGAAATTTTTAAGAGAGAACTATCGTGTTGATGATTAACTGAGGACGACATTTGACATACTTCACTTTACCTTTGTGAACGTGAAAGAAGGAGTTCATTGTAATGGGCGCCCTCAACAAAATCGTAGATGAAAAATCTTGGATAAATAGGGAAGATTTTTGAAGATTTTGAAAAAAAAATCTCTCTTCCTCTAATATCAGTATTAATATCCATAATTACATATTATTATTATTTACATATATTACTAATATTAAATAAATTGAATTATGACCTGATTTGTGAATTAATAAAGTATTGAAACTTAAAAAACAGGTTAAGGAGTAATTTCCTCCAAAAAAAATGCTATTTATTCTCATTTTAATATCACATCAAAGTGGAATAATTTACAATTGGGCTCCAATGGGCTTTCTTTTCATTTTTTTAGCCCACCTCCAGTTTAAAACTTATAAAGAAAAGAAAAGTTCACAACGCAAGTTTTATCTATTCCAAAATCAAAAATCAGGCCACAAAATTTAAAATTGCAAAAATCAGATTTTTCTTCAATTAATTAATTATATTTCACAATTATTATATTAAATTAAATATTTAATTGTAATATAATATAATATACCCCACCCCACCCCACATCCATCTCCACGACCCTCATTGCTCCGACGACTACTTCGGTGACCGGCGACTGTTCTCCGACAGCGCGTAATTTCGGCGACTACTGTCGCCTCTTAATTCCGGTCACTGTTCCGATTCCGACAATTGTTAAGGTCACAATTATATGCAGTTTGGTCACGGATGACTTCATGGGTCACTGATAAAAAAAATTATAGGCCACATGTTATATTTTAAGGTCACAGAGTAACGAATTTTAAGGTCACAGTTACCCAAACACCCTTCATCCATCCCAGTACATCACCAATACTTTGTCACAGATCAATCAAATAGATGGTCACAGACACTTCGACCCATCCGCCGCACTCATTCCCCAATCCCAATACACCAACAATACTTGGTCACAGGTCATAGAACAACCAAAATTTTTTATAGGTCACAAATTGAAAAAAATCAAAACTTTTACAGGTCACAGCGAGTCATGGTCACAATTTCTAGGTCACAGACACCTACGATCGCCGCCACCACCACAGCCAACATCTCAACCACCACCAAAAATATTAGATCTACAGAACCACCATCGCCAACACGACTACCGCCACAATAATTATGCCACGGCCACCTCCACTTCACAACCAAAAATGCAACTCCACCACCACAGTTGTACCTCAACCTCCACCATAGCACCATCACCACGCAAATCTGCAACCCACCACCACACAATCACACATCAGAGAGAGGGAACGAGATGGAGAGAGTCACATCAGAGGGAAAGGGAGGGGAAGGGAAACACTGTTGCGAATCGCAGCAGAGTGAGGGAGGGACGGGGAGGGGGAGAATGGGAAAGGGGGACGATGTTGCGAATCGCAGCAGCATCGCTGTGAAGGGGGAAGGGGAGGGAGGAGGCGGCGGGCGTGGAGAGAGGTGAAGAGAGGTGGCGGTGGAGGCGACGACCGGTTTGGAGAAAAATTGAGAGAAGATAAAATGAAATGGATTGGGATAGAGTTAGGCCGTGTTTGATTGTGTTTTTCTTCCATGAAAAATATAACATATTTTCCATTTCCAAGGAAAATGTTTTCCCTCCACGCTCCCATTTTCCACTTTTTGGCTGAAAATGTTTTCCCACCATTTTGGTGGAAAAATGAATTCCAAGTCTGGCCACATTTTTTTTTTTTTTGGTAATAGTAATAAATTTTAAAGCCAATTGTAAAAAAAAAAAAAAATCACTTTAATGGACAATTTGTCATGTAAAACGAAGTCAAACGAACACTAATTTTGATAAAAAAATGGTGAAAAAATAGTTTTCGAGCGAACTTTTTTTTTTTTTTTTTACTTTTTTACAATGGTAACAAATTTATAAAAAAAATTTCACTTTAATGAAAAATTGTAATGTAAAACGAAACCAAACGAACACTAAACTTTGATAAAAAATGGTGAAAAAATAGTTTTCGAGCAAATTTTTTTTTTTTTTACTTTTTGACAGTGGTAACAAATTTCATAAACAATTATGAAAAAATTATTTTAATAAACAATTTTTATATAAAATAAAGTCAAACGTGAACAAAAACATCCAAAATTTTAAAAAAATTTCGGGTGGAAAATTATAGCACTTGAAATCATTTTAATCTTTTCCCTGTAAAAAGCCTTTTATCGCCGATTGCTTTCCTCCAGCGGCATCCACAGCATTTGAGGTGAATCATTTTTTTTAATTTTTTTTTTCTGCCTTCAAAACTTGATAATTTTATGTCCTCAATGTATATACTGTATATTCAAATAAAATTGTATTCATCTTTTTAAATTTGTGTTTATTACTGGAATAAGAGTAGGACGGCAGTTTTGATTTACGCACATTAGATTATCCGTGTCTGAAGTTTGTAATTGTGTACTTGTAGCCCGTGGCCGTGTTTGTTTTAAGTTTTAACTGTTAAAAATAGGAGCTTTTGCAGATTTCCACAAATTTGCAAAGTGCAAACTCCAATTCTCCAACCTTCGCTGCACTGTCTGCTCTTCATTGTTTCATCTCGTATGGCCCATTTCAGGTACTCAGCTGTTCCCAACTTGTTTGATGTGAATTCTAGTTTTAAATCATCTTAGAAAACAAAAAGTTATGTATATTGTGCGATTGAAATTTTGGGATATATGGTAATTAGGAGGTTTGGCTGTGCCGATGAATTAGGAATATGTTATGGTCTCTCCTGTTTGAAGTGTCTAATAATTTGGGGTCATTGAATCACTTTTAATTACCCACTTTTAATTTGTAATGGTTTATTGAAAAGCTAGTTTGATCAATAATTCATTGGACGCGATGGGAAAACTTGTATATCATGTCTCTCATGTTTGATCAGTAGAATGTGTTGAATATGCTCAATACAGCTTTGTATGGTAATATACAAGTGACGTCAAATTAGAACTTGCTAAAACTCTAATGTGAAAGTAGATTAAAATCATTTTTAATCTCAAAGTTGAATCTTTAATACTGATCAATTGAAATCATCTACATTGCCAGTCGGTAGTCTCTAATTCTACATTGCAAAGCCCAACCAGTCTGTACTGGAGTTTCTTTCCTGTTCCTATAATTGTCACAACTGATAATGCCATTGATCTTGACCGAACTCTAAACAAGTGGGATCCGATTAGGAATGTCAAAATGTGCGGTTGAACCTTCATCAAATGGAGGGGAACAAAGAACAAAGTGTACGGTTGTGATGGCACTGAATGAGACTTTTGAGAAGAACGAGACAACTGTGAAGGAGGGAGACGTGATCACAGCTATAGAGGGAGTTGGGTTGACAGAGAAAGAGACCGGAATAGTGATGGCTGAGGAATCAAGTCCGGCACCGACACAAGAGCAAGTGGTGACAGGCGCGACTACAATGATTGTGAACACTTACATTAGGAGGCATCCTAGGTCTCTGACTAAAAACGAGCTGGGGAACGATAAAGCAATAGTAGTGTGGGAAGAGTGTGCCAAAAAGGGAATAATGGACAAGGGTACAGCACGAGTGGTGGAGGGGGAAGGACAGATCTTTGAGCCTATTGGATGTTGCTATGCAGGGGAGATAGTTAAAGTTACTGCGCTTGATGTTAGACCTCCGGTTTCAAATTGGGTTCTCCATAAAATTCAGGAATTCAGCAAGATGGTGGGTGTGTCTTGTGATGGGTATGAAGATAACCT